GGTTTCAGCAGCTTACAGACTCAGACAGGCTAGGAAGAAGGAGGAGACCATCCACTTCTCAAAAAATTGGCCAGGGAAAACCTTATGAATAGCAGAGAAACTCTGCCTGATACATTACTGTGCAACTTTACGAACAGCCCAGAAACATTGCCTGATACAGTGCAGGACGATAAACCACTTAGGTCGGAAGGCTCTCAAAATAGGACCAGGAAAGAGCTGCATCATCAGAGTAGAACCAGCCTTAAAGTTATGGATAAGGTAAAGCTTTTGAGACCTCCATTTGCTGACATGGCATGACTCAAATTGAGAAACAGCTGCAAATATTCATTAATAATCAGAACATGGAATTTACGAAGCATGAATCTAGGAAAATTGAAAGTTGTCAAAAATGAAATGGAGTGCATAGATTGATATCCTATACATTAGTGAGCTGAAGTGGACTGGTTTTGGCCATTTTGAATCAGACAACCATATGGTCTACTATGCTGGGAATGACAATTTGAAGAGGAATAGTGTGGCATTCATCATCACAAAGGATGTTTCAAGATCTGTCCTGAAGTACAATGCAGTCAGTGATAGGATAATATCCACACTCCTGCAAGGAAGACCAGTTAATATGACTATTATTCAAATTTATGCACAAACTACCAAAGCCAAAGATGAGGAAATTGAAGATTTTTATCAGCATCTGCAGTCTGAAATTGACCAAACATGTAAATAGGATGTGTTAATTATTACTGGTGACTGGAATGCAAAAGTTGGAAACAAAGAAGAATCACCGGTAGTTGGAAAATTTGGCCTTGGTGACAGAAATGATGCTGGAAATCGCATGACACAATTTTGCAAGACCAAGACTTATTCATTGCAAATACCTATTTTCAACAACACAAACGGCGGCTATACTCATGGACTTCACCAGATGGAAAAGCTCAATATCTTCAGCCAAAACCAGGCCAAGAGCTGATTGTGGAACAGATCATCAACTGCTCACATGCAAGTTCAACTTGAAGTTAAAGACAATTAAAACAAGTCCAAGAGAGCTGAAATATGATCTTGAATATATCCCTCCTGAATTTAGAGACCATCTAAAGAACAGATCTGCAACACCAACGACCGAAAACCGGAAGAATTGTGGGACGGTATACAGAACATCATCCATGAAGAAGCAAAAGGCAAGAGGTCACTAAAAGACGAGAAAGGAAGAGAAGACCAAAACGGATGACAGGAGACTCTGAAACTTGTCCTTGAGCAGAGAGTAGCTAAAGCAAATGGAAGAAATGACAAGATAAAAGAGCCGAACAGAAGATTTCAAAGAGCAGCTCAAGCAAAGTCAATTACTATAATGAAACGTGCAAAGACCTGGAGTTAGAAAACCAAAAGGGAAGAGCATGCTAGGCATTTCTCAAGCTGAAAGAACTGATGAAAAAATTTACGCCTCAAGTTGCAATACTGAAAGATTCTATGGGCAAAACATTGAATGATACCAGAAGCATCAAAAGAAGATGGAAGGAATACACAGAGTCACTGTACCAAAAAGAGCTGGTAGATCTTCATCCATTTCAGGAGGTGGCATATGATCTAGAACCAATGGTACTGAAGGAAGAAGTCGAAGTTGCACTGAAGGAATTGATGAAGAACAAGGCTCCAGGAATTGAGGGACTACCCATTGAGATGTTTCAACAAACAGATGCCCCACTGCAGGCACTCACTCAGTTATGCCAAGAGATTTGGAAAACAGCTACCTGGCCAACTGACTGGAAGGGATCCATATTTGAACCCATTCCAAAGAAAGGTGATACCACAGAATGTGGAAATCGTCAAACAATATCATTAATATTGCATGCATGTAAGATTTTACTGATGATAATTCAAAAATGGTGGCAGCAGTGTATCGACATAGAACTTCCAGAGATTGAGGATGTGGAACAAAGGATATCATAGCTGCTGTCAGATGGATTCTGGCTCAAAGCAAAGAATGCCAGAAAGATGTTTACTTGTGTTTTATTGACTATGCAAAGGCATTTGATTGTGTGGATCATAACAAATTGTGGATGACACTGAGAAGAATGGGAATTCCCGAACACTTGATTGTGCTCATAAGGAACCTACACACTGACCAGGAGGCTGTTGTTCGAATAGAACAAGGGGACACTGCATGGTTTAAAATCACGAAGGGAGTGAGTCAGGGTTTTTTCCTTTCCCCCTACTTATTCAATCTGTAGGCCGAGCAAATAATCCAAGAAGCTGTACTATACGAAGAAGAACGTGGCATCAAGATTGGAAGAAGGATCATTAAGAACCTGCAATTCGCTGACAACACAACCTTGCATGCTGAAAAGTAAGGATGACTTGAGGCACTCACTGATGAAGAATGAAGAATACAGTCTGTAGTATGTATTACATCTCGATACAAAGAAAACAAAACTCCTCACAACTGGACCCATAAGCAGCATCAAGATAAATGGAGAAAAGATTGAAGTTGTCAAAGACTTCACATTGCTTCGTTCTACAACTGATGTTAACGAAAGCAGCAGTCAGGACATCAGACGACATATAGCACTGGGCAAATCGGCTGCAAGGGACCTCTTTAAAGTGCTGAGAAGGAAGGATGTCTTCTTGAGGACTAAGGTGCGCCTGACACAAGCCATGGTATTTTCAATAGCTTCATATGCATGTGAGAGGTGAACAATGAATAAGGAAGACCAAAGAATTGATGCTTTTGAGTTGTGGTGCTGGCAAAGAATGCTGAAAGTACCATGGACTGCTAAAAGAACTAACAAATCTATCCTGGAAGAAGTGCAGCCAGAATGCTTCTTGGAAGCGAGAATGGCCAGACTTCGTCTCACCTACTTCGGTCATGTTGTCAGAAGGGACCATTCCCTGGAGAAGGATGTCAAGCTTGGTAAGGTGGAGGGTCAACAAAAGAGGGGAAGGCCCTCAACGAGATGGACTGACTCAGTGGCTGCGACGATGGGCTCAAGTATAGCAGGGATCATGGAACTGGCACAAGACCGGGCGGTGTTTTGTTCTGCTGTGCATAGGGTCGCTATGAGTCAGACACAAGTCAATGGCACCTAACGACAAGGGCAGGTAGGGGAGTGAGTAACCTAGAGATGGTCAGCAGAATGGCCTCCAAAGGTATAGCACCCTCACCCCAGGGACCTAGACGTTTCATGGTAGACATAAGTAAGATGGCCTTAAGCTAGAGAAATCATCTTGGATACTTGTTTCAGTTCTCCAGTGCTGCTGTAACAGAAAGACCACAAGGACATGACTTCAACAAACAGAAATGTAGTGTCTTACCATTTAGGAGGGAGCTCTGGTAGCATAGTGGCTAAGACACTTTGCCTGCTAACCACACGGCTGGCGGTTCAAACCCACCAGCCACTCCTCGGAAGGAAGGTTGGGCAATCCTACTTCCGTAGTGATACTGCCTCGGAAACCCAAGGAGGGGTCGCTATGAGTCGGGGCCGACTCGACGGCACATAACAACAACAACAACAACACCATTTAGGAGGCCAGAAGTCCAAGTTCAGAGTGCCGGCTCTAAGGTGAGACTTTCTCTGTTTCTTGTTCCTCAGAGGACCCTACCACAGGAATGCTGGGTCCAAAGGCCAAGTTCCCCTCCTGGCTACCTTTCTTGGTGATAGTAGGTCCCCATTCTCCGCTTACTTCTTTCTTCTTTTTTTTCTCTTATAAGATAGGAGGTATTACAGGCCACATCCCAGCCAAGCACCCGTCAGAGCAGCTCAGGGCTGTAATGGACTAAGGGTGTTACCACTTTATCTTAATCCTTACACTTGATTGGCTTATCACATCAGATCCCATCATGGTGTATCATTACATATCTGCCACATTCCATCATTACATACCTTCTGCACCACTGAGAATCATGACCCCACCAAGTTGACACAAATTGTGGGGGGACACAATTCAATCCATGACACATAGTCAGGGCCAACGGATCACACAAACCTGAGAAGCGGAGAGCTTTCTCCGGCTGAAGGCAGGAGAGACGTGCAGCTGAGAGACACTTGCCCTGCGTTGCTGGTTTTGAAGATGAAGGAAATGCAGGGGGCTGCCAGAGGCCCAGAAGGGCCCTGACACCTACCCTCTGCCGGCCTGACCTGAGTGGGCCAGGAAGCAGCCCGCTCCAGTGCCTGTGGGGGGGGGCTGCCCAAGACCTTCAGCATCTGCAGCAGGGAAACCAGAAACTTTGGAAGAGAACCAAGGGATTTCAGACCCACAGAACTGAGACCAGGAATTTAATACGCTGCTTTTGTGGTAATTTGTTAAGAGGCCACAGAAAAGGAAAACTCTAGGAATGCAGGCAGGGAGACAGCAGGCACAGGCAACTCTTTCAAGAACTCGTGCTGGGAAGGGAGCAGGAGGCAGTGGCTAGAGAGGGTTAGGGGAGAGCTTTCCTTTCAGGGGGTACCTGGCAGGGGATGAGGAGCTGTGGCAGCATAGGGGATAAGGCATTTAAGGCATTTGACTGTTAACCCAAAGGCCAGTAGTTCAAACCCACCACCTGCTCTGTGGGAGGACCATGCGGCAATCTACTTCCATGAAGATTTACAGCCTTGGGGTCACTGGGTTGGAAATGATTCTATGGCAGTAGGTTTGGCTCGGTTTTGGTTTTAGGCTTCCTGTCTTCCCTTCCTTTGCTTCCCTGCCTCCTATTCCCACTCCCCTTCTAGTGCTTTCTGGAACCCTTCCCAGAAAGCTTGGAATCCCTGTTTCTAAGCCAAACCCAAGGCACCAGTGCCCCTCAGCTGTGCTACAAGAGCCCCCCCAACACACACACCTGGTGGTCTTCACCTGTGGCGCATGCACCTCTAGGACTCCTGGAGGTTGGAAGAACAGGGTGACCTGACCAATAACGGCCAGCCTTGAACCCAGATGCCCTATCTCCACTCAGCCAGGACCACCAGCCCTTCCTGTCCCCGGGGAAGACCGAGGGACACCCAGGGCACAAGTGGGTGCCTGTCCACCCTGACATGTACCCACCAGGCCCGCTCAGCCTCTGGCTAGTGGGACCCCTTCCCGGAGACCTAACACGCCTCGCTGGTCCGGAACAGATTTCTGGTTCGGGAAAGATTTGGACCCAGGGCTCTGCCTGCTGCCGAAACGGCTGGTGGGGCCTGCAGACGGGCTCCGTGGTGCCCCCTCCTGCCCGGGTTTCTGCCTGGAAAGCGCGCAGGCGGCTGGAAGACAGGGGGCGGCCGCTGCCCCCGCCGCAAGCAGGCCCCTTGGGCGAGCGGGGGCTGCGGCCGTCTCTGCAGGCACCCCAGGCCCCGCCTGAGGCCGGGACTCCGGAGCGCGGGCCCTCGCTCTACTCCTCCGCGCATCTAGGGGGCAGCCTGAGCCGGCCGGATTCCGGAGCCGTCCGGGTCAGGGCCCCTGCCCGCGCGGCCCTTTCCCCCTCGCCCTTCCGGGCTTGGAGAAAGGACCGGAAACGAGGACGGCGGTCTCCGCACAGCGTCCCGCGGGCCCCTCGAGACGCTCGGGGCCGTCGCCGCCTGAGGCACTGGGCTGGCCGCACTAAAGGTCGCCCCGGCCGAAGGGCACTGGGCCCGAGGGAAAGCGGCTGAGTCGGGGGGCGGGCCGAAGGTCGAGGCCCGAGACTGAAGGCCCGAGGGTCGCTGCCTAGGGGGCGGGCCGGGCCGGGGAACCGGGGCCCAGGGGGCGGGCCGTGCCCAGCGCCTCAGAGCACAAAGCTTCCCGCGAAACTGACGTCGGCCCGCGCCGGCCGCGCAGGAACCGCCCCTCCGCTTC